ACCTTGCAATGCCTCATGGGATTTGAAGTTCCACAACAGCTGGAGGGCTGGAGTTTGCCCACCCCTGCTGTAGGAAACTGCAAAAGGAAGTTTTTGTGCCATCTGTGTGCTGTTCAAAAGATTTACCTTCACAACAAAAAGTAAGAAGAATTCCCCTCTTAAATAGTTATTAGCGGAACAAGATGTCCCCTCTATTCCTATTCTGGGGACAACTCGAAAATATTCCTCATGATTAGTCCCAATGACAGTGGTCACTATGACAAACAGAGAGAGTAATTCCCTGTAGCTGAGACGTAGACCGCAATAAAAACTGGCAGAGATTTGAACCCTTTACCGCTTTACCAAAAACAAAAAAGAAGTTTTGGCTTTTTATTTAAAGTTGATCCTAAATGACCATATTTTACAATGAGATACGCTATGATATCTGCTCTCCTACTTGAAGTATGAAAGTCTCAGTCTTTTGGTTACATCTTTCTGTGTTTTTAGTCACTTCCTCAAAAACACGTTATGGTAAGAGGTTTATTTCCGCTCTCTGCAGCTTGTGGGATTCTTGTTCAGTGTTAGGCAAAGCACTGTGAAGTTTTGCACTACTTATGTGTTTCCTGTAGCAGCCATCTTGAAAGATACCCCGGTGTAGAATCATAAACATTTAAGCTGTTTTTCTGAACGGTACGTTTTTCTCGTTTGTTGTTTGAGGATACTTCTCAAGGGCATTGGCATTCTTCTCTAACTTTCGAATGATACAATTAACAAGTAACTAACTCTGTAAGTTTTACATCATTTTAGATGTGTGTGTATAATACTATGTATACATTTTACTTTTCTAACTATGCACTTTAACAATTTGCTTCCTTAGCTTTTTTTTATGTATACAAGGTTATGTTTATTTTCTTGTCCTTGAGTTCACAGCACTTGGGGATATAAAGGTTCACGTCTGTATATGTGTAAGAGACAATAATTAGAGCATTAAACATCTACTCTTTCTGGTATTTGCTACCCATAGGTGATATTTTTAGATTTTTTTGTCCAGACGCTTGTATTATGGATGATGTATAGATTTTAGATATAAAGAATACAGATTGTGTATGGGAAAAATCATAGGAACTGAACTCTGAAATATTTAAATGGTCAGTTGACGGGATTTGGTTATACAAATGACTTTTCTATTGCCGAAAATGTGATAAGGGTTATAACCAAGCATATTTAACAAGAGTGGGTAACTGAAGGCTTGCAATTGTCAAATGCTATAAAACCTGTCCAGAACTTTCCATCTCAGATTTTTCTGTATAATATAGTATTGGCCTCTGATTTAATTTTTCCCTTTTCACACTTTTACATATGTTTTCTGTAAAGCTGAAAAAGTTATTATTGTCTTTTATTTCTTTATTGTTTGTAATTGTTTATGTAGTGAATGCTCCCAGTGCATTCCTTGTTCAAAGCCACATAGCATGGTTTTATCAAAGTCATTGCCATCTTCCTGTCCAGCTAGTACTATATGGGTGCTAAACAATTATCATTGGGAAAGGCTCTTATTGCCAAGCTCTAACCTAGCAGACCTGCCATTGATTTTGGAGTATGCTTCTCTATGTCGGTTTTCTGTTAGGGCATACTCTACTCAGCCTTTGGGGACCCCTCTCATAGCCTGCACGGCAGCAGTAAACACTTATTTGCTGGCAGAGCTAAGCCACAAGGTCACAAGGCCATCTATAGGTCCATGTGATTTTTTAATAATGGAAATTATGCTGCAGGATTCCTACCCACCCCACATGTGATTTTGATAGCTTTATTGTTTTGATTCAGCGTGGTTCTAGTCTCCCATCACTGTCACTGATCTTTATATTTACAGATTATTTCACTTCCATCAACTTCCATGTGTCACTCCCTCAATAGCAGGATAGGAAGACATTGCTTGCTTGCCGACTTGCATTCTGCAGTGGTTCCCTTATTAATCATCTTTTTAGCTGTTTATAAAGGGGGAGGGGGGATTCATCCCATTGACTATCAATGTTAAGGGATATGTTTCCTACTTATCATCAATCTAAGGAAGCTTTTTTCACTGTGTAAAGAGCATCCTTCCCACTTATTACCATTCACCAGTCTAAGAGAGCACTTTTCTACTGATCACCGATATAAGTGGACATTTGTTCGCTGACCTCCAATGTAAGGGGACACTGCACTGACCACCTATGCGAGGAGCAGTTTTCCACTGACCACCAATGTAAGGAACATTTTTCCCACTTATGACAGATCTAAGAGAAACATTTTCTACAAGCCACCAATGTAAGTGGACTTTTCTGCACTGGCCACTAGGGATGCACTGGTACTAGTTTTTCGATATCAAATACGAGTACCGATATTTATCTTTCAGTACTTGCCAATACTGAGTATAGATATACCGAATCTGGTACTTCCGCTAGCATGGATCCAGCTTCCCGGGCAATCAGGAAGCCGGGCAGAGTGTCATTACCCGCCCAACTTCTTGATTGCCCGGGAAGCTGACTCCATGCTGTTTTGCCGACTCAATGCTGATTGGTCGTGAAGCCATATTCCCAGCCAATCAGCATCGACCCAGCTGCCTGGCTATTCAGACATTTCCTGCCACCAGACTTCCTGACTGGCCAGAAAGCCGGCTCCATGTTCCCTTGCGGCACTGCCGGTCAGAAGAAAATCTCCCTCTGACCGGAAGTTCCGGTATCGGGGAAGGTATCGGAGCATTTGGGTGAGTATGAGTACTCGCCCAAATACTCAGTATCGGCTCGGATACCGATACTACTATTGGTATCGGTGCATCCCTACTGGTCACCAATGTAAGGGGACACTGCACTGTCTGCCTATGTAAGGAATACTACAATTCTATTCTATTTTTTCTTATTGGCTTAACCACTTAAGGACCGTCGTATGTATATACATCGTGGTACTGAAGCTGTAACAGTAGCTGTGATCTTGGTATCGATTTTTGAAGCCGGCACCTGGCTTCAGGTAGAAGTCATCCGGGTGGCTGTAGAGTCACCCAATCACTTGTACAGGCCTGAAAGGGTCCCTCACTATCTAATAGATGCACAAAAAGGATCTGTCACTTCCTCTGAGTTATCACGAGTGTAATAAAAAAAAGTTTAAAATATTAAAGTGTATTAAAGTGACATAATTCATTAAATAAACAAAATAATTTTTTTAAGCCCTTTGCCCTCAAGTAAATGCACATGCTTGGCACAATTTAAGTATATATATAAATTGTTCCTGGCAGGGCCACAGGCTTTCTGTAAAGCACTGTAGCAGCTGAAACTTTTACAATTACAACAATCTTCCAGGTCCCGGAACAGCTAATGTGCTGAGCGACTTCCTCTTTGCTCTTAAAACACAGAGGGTCTCTTAATGAATGCCGTGATGTCACCACCTCTTGTCCATTCAGAGAACCCATAGTATTCATTCATAAAAATACTAGACATTTGCTTAATGGCCAATGTGCTGAGCGAGGGACCCTCTGTGTTTTCTTTTCACAGTGGAGGCTACTACTGTGTTTTATAAGATTGCCATGGCCCTGCCAGGGATAATTTATCTATGCCTACATTGTGCCGAGCTGTAATAAAGTATATATACAGTACATTTCTATAGCTGTTGTTCAACTTTAGAAGAAGGAAGGGGGAGGGATTGGGGCTGGCAGAAATTTACATTTCCAGGAAGTGGTCACATTCTTACTAAAGTTGGCATGTTGACATGGGTCACAACATAGGAAAAAAAAATTTCTTTTAAAGTTGGGAAACATTTAGGTGCTTATTATCTTCTACTGCTGCAAGCTTTTCGCTTAAAAAGTGAGGCCTGGTGGCAGGGTCGTTTTAATAAAATAAAAAAAATTATCTGCATTGGGTGTCAAATATGCCGAGTATTCTTTATTCTTTTATTTATTAATGTACCTAAAATGTACTGATCACACATAATATACAGTAAATTGTATATAATATAAACATTTTTCCTGGGACCTGATCATTTTTCAACGGGTCCCCCCTTGATAAAAGGGTTGAGGAAGGCTGATTTCTTGACTGTTATCTATTTTCAATTGCTCTAAAATATTTACATACTTATGGTAAGGCTTTGACACCCTCTCCTGAAATTGCTCTTCTTTCCCTTTATCCTGGATCGCGAAAGAGGCAGAAACACTCCATCCTTCATTTAATTTTTTCGGCGGCCCGTCCCTGCTTTTTTGAAGACGACAGTCGTTCCTACTGTCACCCACTGGGTCAACATTCTGAATGATGTTATGCCTGTGGAGGAAATTGTGGCCATTGCTTATGACAAATATGAGACCTTTTATAATCTTTGGGCTGTTTGGGTTGATTTTTCTGCTTTTGCTCTCAGATGCAGACTGTGATTGCCCTCAGTGGTAGCTCCATCCGCTTGATTTTTACCTAGTGTTGCTTTTGTGTGCAGAGTACATCTTGCTCCACCCCCCCTCTCCCCCGCCCTCGGGATGCCTCTTCTATTTCCTTCTTATCTTCTTCTTCCTTTCCTACACTTTTCTCTGTTTTCTTATCTGGTTTTCTTTTCCTTCTTTTCTATTTTATCATTATGTTTTTGGAATGGTGTTATTGATATGGGATATCAGTTGGTATTCATTAGCGCACTGCTGATGGTAACTGAAGTGATACTGCGAAGACGCTTATTACGATCGCATGTATTTCCTACATTGTTATAGATATAATACTTTTGTTTGTGTATCATCACACTGTCAGCTGTTTTACCACGTCAATGAGATCCCTTTTCATGTTGTCATGATTGTCTGTGCTTTTGTTCTTTTTCAATAAATATAGATTTGACCATAAAATATTTACATACATATAGCTGCTTGACCTATTGTAATAGCAGTAAACTACATAGCATTTTTGCAAAGGCTGAGAAAAAGATTATAGTCCTTCATGGTTAACCTGTTTATATACATTTTGACAATGTGGATGCAAGCTCATAAAAACAGATTAGATTAATCTATGCATATTTTCTGTCTGCAGCCTCCAGAGTACGACGCAGTTGACCCGATAGATTTTGAGAATTTTCTGATGTCACATATCAACAGCCAAAATCATGAACTTCTTCAAGAGCTTGGAGACTTCCCCGAAGATGATCTGGATCTTGTATATAAACCCAAAGAGTGTAGAACACTGCAGCCTTCACTGCCAGAAGAAGGGTATGCACATTCAGTAACAGCAGATCCTATAAAAAACTATGTAAAATATAAAGTGTGTGCTAAAGGATAACAATACTACTTGTTTTATCCTTCAGCACATACATTATTAAAGTTAATTAAGGTAGAATCAGATATCTGTCCTGTTTTCATACAGGCGGGCGTTTCGGCTATTGTTCAGTCATGTTTACAGTGCTCACAATCTATCTTTGACCAACACAGGTTTTTGTTTGTTGTGGTTTAAAATGTATTTGCAACCTACTTCCTCAGTAGAGCTATGGCCTCATTCTAAAAGAAATTTGTTTCTGAGTCTGTGGGCCAAATGGTCAGGATTATGCTCCTCAGTAGTCATATACGTATATATCTTTTTGTGCTTGCTAATGTAAGCCCCCATTCACACCTGAGAGATTTGTTGCGCATTTCCTTGAGCGTTACAACGCTCAGCTTAAAGATTCACATAGTATTAAAGGGTGCCTGTTTACATCTGAGCATAATGCTGCCGCGCTGTCATGCAAAAAGGTACGTCAGCTTTTTTGGGCAGAAGTGCAATTTTTTTACCCCATAGACTTCAATAGGAGCGCCTATTCATGCATTTTTGCAACGAACAACTGGTCTCTGCCTAGCAATCTCAGGCCTGTGAACAAAATGGAGGATTCAGATTTCTCTGTGTTGGATGTGGAGACATTTATCTGCTTAGGAAGGGCCCAAAAGCACCTTTATGACCCCAGTGATGCCCATTACAAGAACAATGGCAAGTGAGAGTAAGCTTTGGAAGAAAACTGGGCGTGATGTTTTCCCGGATTGGGAGCTGTGATAGCACAAGACACCACAACACCACACAGAAAAACCAGGACGCAGAGAATGAATGAAGCAAAAGAATGGGGGCTCAGTAAAATGTTTTACTATATACACTCCCTCTCAGGCCCTGGTTTGTTGACATGTTCCACATGCTTGGGGTGGCCTACATGACCACTAGAAGCATTGTTGACTGCTTTGTCCGCTAATCTAGTTTGCATTTTTTCACTGAAGCAGAACTAAATAATGCAAACACTCTGAAATTGCAAGTTACAAATTGTGCGTGCATGCATACTTGCAAATCTGTGTTACCTTTTGCATTATCCATATTTCATATTATCCATATGCCTAATTTGTTCTTCAGCGTTAGTGGTAGGTGATGAAAGGGTGATATCATCTAAGGGAAGTGATGTAATCATTGCCTCAAAATAAGTTCTCTATAGCAACTATTACTATTCTTTGCCAGGAATCAAATGTGAAATAGGGAGGTTCTATCTATAACCAATCCTATCTCTTTCCTGCTCTTTTACAGCCATTTGACAGAAGGACACATGGCAGAACAACAGTATAAGGGGCCATAATGTCTGTGCAGTCAAGGTCCTCTCCCTTATGCAAATATTGGAGCATAATGACATGTTAAAAGGAGGTATGGAAAGCCTATGACCTCTGGGCTGTTCAGCCAGAAAAGCTGAAGCCAAGATATCATAGGGAATCCAGGTCCTTCCCAGCTTAGAGACCGTCTAACAAAGTCACAAGAGAAATAGAGGGGATTTATCAAAACTTGAGCAGACAGAATCTGTCTGCATGAGGGTTGTTGCGCTTCAGAAAACACGCAAACAAATCACTCAAGTATGAATGGTGGCTAAGGGTTGCAGCTCAAGAAGCACCAAATGTATTTTCTGGGTGATCCCAGGCTACAACAGTTGGTTAGCTGTACCCCTAACAATGAATGATATATAAGCCGGTAGTTAAAGCTGAACCCAGAACAATCGTGCCAACTACTAGTAATTTAAAATACTTACCATTACTTAAAGTGACGTTAAACTAGGAGTTAAATCTTAAAAATAAATTCAAGTACCTTAACTATTATAAAAAATTTTATCTTATTATTATAATTATTATTATCAATAATGTATCTTATTTGTGTATCACTCGGCTGTAGATCCTCAAATCATCTCTGAATTCATGATGACACTGTCCTTCCTTCTGGAGGGTGGCTACTTTTGTTCCCCATGGACCCTGTGTGTGTTGTCAAGTAGCTACCACTCCAAGCTCACTCCTGTGATGGACTATTATTTTGATACAAATTAGTAAACTAAACGTGAGATTGTAGTCCATCACGGGAGTGAGCTTGGAGCTTTACAACACACACAGGGACCATGGGGAACAAAAGTAGCCACCCTCCAGAAGGAAGGACAGTGCCAGCATGAATTCAGAGATGATTTGAGGATCTACACAAATAAGATACATTTTTGTTAATATTTAGGGAACTTGAATGCATTTTTAAAATTTACCTGCTGAGTTTAGTGTCACTTTAAATATTGGAAAGCCTATAAAACTACTAGTAGTCGCCACAACTTTTCTGATTTCGGCTTTAACTGCCTGCTCATACAATTGTTGTAGCCTGGGATCACCGAGAAAATACTTTTGGTGCTTCCTGAGCTGCATCCTTTAGGGCCCATTCACACCACATCCAGATTACCTCCAGGCTGGGTTCACACCATTTTCCAAAACAGATCTGGACCAGATCTGGTATATAGCGCATTGCATTTTTACCGCGATTGGAATTTTTTTAGCTTAAAATGGTCTTACAGGTGCGTTCCAGACCAGATGCGTTTTGGATGCGTTTTGATGCCAGACCAGACAAAATAGGACAAGCAGTATTTTTCTGGTCTGGTCTGGAACGGACTGCGCTGGTGGGAACAGAGGCCACAAATAGCACAGGGATACATCAAGATGCATTTTGGGTCTGGAAACAGTCTGGTCTGGAGGTAATCTGGGTGTGGTGTGAATGAACTCCCAGACCAGACTGTTTCCGGACCCAAAATGCATCCCAATGTATCCCTATGGTATTTCTGGCTACTGTTCCCACCACCGAGGTGCGTTCCAGGCCAGACCAGAAAAATACTGCTTGTCTTATTTTGTCTGGTCTGGAATGCACTGGAACGCATCAAAACGCTTGGAACGCACCTGTAAGATCATCTTAAGCTACAAAAAAAATCAAATCGCGGTAAAAACATGGCAGAACAAATGGCAAAAACGCAATGCACTATGTTCTAGATCTGGTCCAGATCTGGCCCAGAAAATGGTGTGAACCCAGCCTTAGCCCCCATTCATACCTGAGTGATTTGTTGCATTTTTCCTGAAGTGCGACAACCCGCATCATGAAAAATCCTATTATTTCCAATGGTGCCATTCACATCTGAGTGTTACATATCTTGTAGCTTGAAGACCTACATGAGCTATTTCAGGCAGAATTGCAAATTTGTGGCCCCACAGATCCAAATAGGAGCACCTGTAAAACACGTGTAGTGCACGCACCTGACCTTCATAACCAGCTATAAAGTGTGGGAAATAATTTTTTTTTGCTTAGTGCAAGTGGAGATGTACAGTAGTATTGGTGCTTTTATAAACACTATCTGACATTTTTTTCTGATTTGAATGTACATCAGCTGCACAATTACATTCCACGGAGCAAAGTTTATACACAAGACGTAACTTGTTAATTCCTTGTGCAGACTAAGCGTCTGTAATACAAAAGAATGTATTTGCATGAAGACGGCTTGCCTAATACCAGAAACAACCTCCAATAAAAGAAGTGACATAGATGAATATTAGTAAATAGTACATAGTAAATATGTAGACTGGATGGTCTTTTTTCTGCAATGCCTTTCTGAATTCATACTCATGTTTTCTGTCTTACCTTCTCAGGGCTGACCTGGATCTACATGTCAGGGACTGTATTCAGATATATTTACGGGACTGGCTAATAGTCAACAGAAAGTAAGTAGACATAAAAATCCGATAGTGTATAAAATATACAAGCTTTAGAATGGTATAAGTAGTGTTATTACATTTCTACTCAGCTGTTACTGCACATCACATGTACCCTAGTATAGGGTCTACAGATGAGTAAATCAGTACACATATTGGGACAGATCGCTCATTTTCAGATCTGATTAAGTTAGAAATTCAACTTGTGGTATGACTACCATGAGACATAGGTGGAAAATATCAGAAAACAAAAAGTCACAGCCTTTCCTCAAATAGCACAGGGAATGTCTTAGTTTAAACCAACAAAAAAATATGGAGAGGAGCCAAAAAATTAACTAAGTGCAGTAAGGAGTATGTAGCTTTCAATAAACAACCAATAAATGCAATTACAAGGATAAAAACATTCCCAGCTCTTATGTTTCCCCATAACGCAAGTGGTGGTTCTGCGTTGCAGCGACTCACTGTAGCGCAGCTCCCTTCTTATAACCCTGTAACTTCATTAGGAAATTGAACTTTTATCATCTCAATGCTGATGTGTAACACCTCGATTTCTGTGTCATATGTAGCCATGTACTACCACTGCCTCCGTATATGTGTTATGTCGAAAATCAATAATAAAAAAAAAACATTCCCAGCATATCATGAGCCTGGAATGTGGATAGCAGCAAAATTGACAAAGGTCCCTCCGAACATATAGCACAGCTTAGCAAGAATAGTCTCCCTGTCTGTGGCCATGAGGACAGCACAGCAACCTTGCTGTAAATCTGGTACTGGCAGGCCTCCCACACTAGCGCTTTGTGTGCAAAGCCAGGATCCAGGGCAATCTTTCTTGATCACACAGCCACACTGCTAGCCATAGGGAGCTGCTTGCTGCTATTCATCTTGCAGGCAAATGACATGCCGAGACTCTGCAATTGTTAGCACTTCTAACAAGCTTGTATTGATGTTTAATGACACATGTTCTAAGCCTTTTCCACTCCACTGACACAGTGTTTTGATCTCTGTCCCAGAGATCAAGTTGAGTCCCAGTTTCAAGTATTTCACTTCCTTCTCATTATGGGACGTTGGGAGAAATGTCCTCACAAAGACAGCAATAAAAACATAACAGAGGTTCTTAACCTTACCCACTCTATCCAAAAATAAATAATACATGTTGGGATTTGATGGAGTTCTACAATTATATAACCATATGAGTTTCTGAAAAATGTGTAATATGTAATGCTACAATATATACTTCATATATAGAAATTCTAAGGGTTTATGTATACTGGGGTCTTAGAATCTTTCCAGATCCCCTGGCATTCAGTGTGCTGGCAAACAGAATAGGGATATGCATAGTGCCCTGTAATCATAAACACTACCCAATACAGCCAGTCGTTTTGAATAGGACAACTTCAAAATCAAATTAATCTAGCTCTCCATTACTTATTTGTTTTAGAGGCAAAGTTTACCTTTTATACCATGTTTCATGTTACACCCATATTCAGGGAGTACATCAACGCATTTGCAGTCCATTCATACATACTCCCATCCCTGTTATTTAATATAGGTAAACAAACAGCACTCGCAAAGGGATCCGTTCTTTCAGTACTTATTTGTAAAAAGGCATCAGCAAACAAACAAATGCATTTTTTTAACCGTTTGCTCAGTGAAGGCTTTACCAGGCACCGAGGTTCAAGCAGCGCGATTAGTGACAAGAGGGTAGAGCTGCTCAATGTTTCGAAACTCTTACTTAATATCCATACCGTGGTATGGACAGGGACTTGAGGAAGATTCAGCAGGAGCCAGAACATTGCACCTGCAATCCACTGATTGTGGTTGCAATGCTTTACTGACTCCAATCCCCCCAAAAAAGAAAAATGCAATTTTTTTTATGATCCCCTGGTATTCAGTGTGCTGACAAATGGTATGAAGATACTAATATTACCCATTAATCATGAGCACTACCAAACAGAGCCAGTCCTGCTGAATCAGACGAGAGCTCCAAAAAAGAAGATAGTGAATTTGGCTACAGTGAAAAGAGCTGTGTTGAACTTTGCTTAGTCTAATATTACTGCCATCTACAGGTAGTTTGAGCTTTTGCAGTCAAGTCAGCCTCAGTGCATTATAAAATTGCAGAAACACAGTTTACAGTTGCAAAAATACACACTTAAAAGAAAAATGTATTGAAACATATATAGTCTTCGACTGCTGACCTTTCTTTGTAAAAATGCTAGTTGTCTGTTTTTCAGCCTTATTCAACAACAATAGTATTCACCGACCCAGAACATACTGTATATCCAGATAAATAGTCTTCAGTGTGACTCCTCTTGTTACATACTTGTTCTAGGTCTGTGATTCAGAAAGTGCTGAAGCCAATGGCAGTCATACAGCTATATTATTTTGTAGAAACTCGCCAGTGCCTCCTACATATTTCTTAGTACATGTTTCCTGCCAACACATCACTTGAGACTGCATGCTCAGTGATCCCCAGTCTTTGGTCCAGGAAACACATGTAGGTCTCTGTTTACTCTCATGCCTGCAGCAGACCCTCAGCAAATTGTAATCATTGAAATATAAGATATATACAGGCCCACTTATCTCTTTCACAAAATAGTCTAATTTTTAATATTAAATGTTCTTAATCTTTTTCATTCTCAGTGTACCACACTATCACTTATTATATATTTGGGTGGTTCACATGTCTAAATACTTAGATTAATTCTATCTTTATTAAGCATTACAAGCGAAGTAAACAGACAAATATACAGTGGTAAAATATATTGGGTATCCATCATAAATAGTCAGAAAATACATAAATAGTGGTCAGGGCTGTTCGTAGGTAAATTGCCGGCTAAGGCGATGTTGTTTCGGGAGAGGGGTTTGGGTTTGGGCTGGGAGCTGTCAGGGAATGGTCAGTGGTGGGGCAGGGGGGGAGGCATGTGTGGCTGATTTATTCGAAGCACTTTCAGCAGCTCTGTCCGGCGTTATGCCTTGTTCACTGATGTCACTGGTTGCTCCAGTTTTGATAAATTCCCCCCATACAATCTTTGGACCAATGCAGTAGATCGATGAGCAATGTTTCATTTACTGGTATGTTTCACATTTCTAGTACTAAGTAACCCATTATGAGAGGTGGAGGTACACATATATAACTCTGAGACTGTCCTTGGAAAGTATAATCTAGTTGAAAATGAATGTTTCAGCCTTGTAACTATAACAAAGGTCAGAAAAGACAATATAGTATGCCCATAAATAAAAAATATAACTATAACATGAAGATAGTACATACAGGCACTTCCTCCACAACAGAGGAAGCTAGATAAGTAGAACTGGTAAGCAGAGCTCCTAAAGGTGTTTAGCATTGTGTAGAGATGTCATTTTACAAATACAGTACTCTAAAAAATAGGGAAGTGAAAAATAACCTTTTGCAACCCTGTTAATGTTTCCTTTAAAGCCAGAGTCCACTTTTTGCGAAAAATAATGAATGCAAACATCTTTATAAAATGAAAAATGTGCATTTATTATTTTTGGGAATTTTAGCCGGTAAAGCATTTCAACTGTGATCAGTAGATTGTGGGTGCAATGGTCTGGCTCCTGCAGTCTCTTCCTCCCCTCCATGTCCGTACCTCGGTACAGACATTCAATAACATGGACGGGAGGATGAATGAATGGATTACAAGTGCAGTGATGTTACTTGTAATTCATTGAGCGCTACAGGTTCCTCCACTGTGGTGGCAGTTCTCCATTTACAGGTCCTGGCAAAGGATCTGTAAATAGGTGATGTACCTGTGTGGGCCGCGCACAGCCCCACTGAGTTCAAAATAATATAGCAGCACTCTGTGGGGATCATGGGTGTAAAATGAAACATGGTCCCAAAGGTAAACTTAAACTTATTACATCCTTTTTGAAAACTATAGGTATTTTATCATAGTTGCTCTTTGCACTAATTATATTTATTATTACTGATTTATTGAATCAGCGCATAGAAGTATGTGCAAAATACTGTATACGTGCTTCTAGTTTTGGGGTGTCTTGATCACGGGTCTTTGTACATCTTGGTATATTTATTTTATTATTACTGAAAACAACTTTATAGCCAGGATAGATGACCCCCATTGAGTACTGTACTGTGACTGACAATTAGGAATACAGTCAGTGTGTTGTTTTTTTTGGTTAAAGAAGATGATTAAATTAGAATTAAAGTATGCCTCAGTTTGAAGGAGCCCATTGTTTCCCTAGACTATGCCTGAGACATGACATTTCCTTATTTATAGTGCAGACCATTTTCATGTTTAATGGATTTTATATTTTCTTTCAGGAATCAGGAAAACTCAGGTACAAGCAACTTTAGCAGAAGTGGCTCTAGGAAGGACTTCCAAAAAACACTCCAAAAGCAAATATTTGAGTCTGATGAAACAGAGGCCAGGCTAAATGAACAGGTATATTTTTTTTAACTTGAAATAATATAAAAGGGATAGTCCAACCAAAAATTATGTTTTACTGATAGTCATCTGCCAGCTCCCTGCCATAGTTTCTGATTCTCATCCCACCCACCTGCATGATTGCTATTTCGTTGCTAGACAGATGAACCTTTTCTATGTTTCCTTCTGATCTGGGTGTGTGAATAAGTAAAGAGAAAAAAACCACAGTAGTTAAAAATTGCTTTATTGTTTTATTGTTCTAACAGTATTCAACCACTTTAATTTATGCCATACACAAGTTCTCCTCTACAGTATATTCCAGATCCTAATGGGTGAGCAGAAGTTCCTTATTCTCCTTGAATAACAAGTGAGGGCGATACTGGCAATGCAACAATGTTAAATGCACAGGGAACTCTGCAGAGGTGTCTTCTCAGAGTTCCTTGTGATGTCACTGAACTCCATATTTTGTATTAGTCCAATATGGTGAATGATGTTACAGTTTATCACAGTGGAGATGCCCCGGTTCAGCACTATGGAGAGCTCTTGATGTCTCCAGACATATACTGGCTATGACATTCACTGAGTGGAATATAGGAATGTACCCGACACAATAAATTCATGTGCTATTACATAACCTATTTCAATGTATTTTAAGATGTCATGATAAATAATACGTTACTGTTGTATTATATGCAAATCTAAAGTCATTCGAATAAAGACTGCTCATTCTTGTATTGATTGCCACTGGTTTAGATCTTTCTGCAACACTTCTACCCACAAATGCCGTTCCGTAGTTGAATTTTAATAGATTTTTTTCATCATGTTAGAAATTTCATATGAGCACTTTATTTAAACTTTCTTCTTGTTGCTTTAATTATCTTGATGTGTACACCATAGAATATGCTGTATGTATATGCTCCTCTAGAGGTGGATCTCCTCTCTGTACTCTTTCCCACCAGTAATACTTGTATAATGTATCTCTATAGGCTGATGGAGGTCTTACTGCTGGCTTGTCTACTGAATCTGGAAGTACACTCACATCTTGTGACTTCGATCTGCGTGGCCTAAATCCAGAAAGTCGTTTAAAGAACCTCCTTCAGCTTTCAAATGTTGAAGACTTGGAGAGGCAAAGTGAAGAAGCTCGCCGGGCTAATAGACAAGCAGACCTTTTTGCACTAAGCCCGCCTGTGGATGAGGTATTCTGTTAGGCCAGCTGTAACAGTTGTGGGGGAAATGCTAGTTGACTTGCAAACCTAAAAATAAGTGTTATGAACTATTCCCAAAGTGGACCTTGTAAACCAGATTGTATAATGTTTTATTTTGACTAAATATTTGTAACCTTTAGAGGGTACTTAAAAAAATACTGCTGCCATGTTATAGACGGAACCAGTATAAATGAGAATGCATCTTATCTAGATTACTGCCCGAAGTATGTATGGGCAAATATTTTTAAATTTTATGCAAAGCCAGTGGAAGTTTAGTGACTGGACAGTGAACTTTTTGTTTTTGCTTCAAACTGCACTCTAAATGGAAAAAGGATGAGGGTATGGGAAGCAGTGCTGGAACAAGGTCACCCAGTGTCCAAGGAGAATATGCCCTCCCTCCGGTTTATTATGCATGAGTCAGTGTCTTTTCAAGACAAGAAAATATTTAAAAATGTAACATTAAAATAGGTTTAAAATGGTCAATTTCACTCGGCTGCCCTCGGCAGCATAGTGAATAGACCCCTTGGTGTCTCTGTGGGGGCTTCTGAAGGGTGATAAGGCACTCTGCAGAACACTTGATGGCTTTGTAGAGTAATGTGAAAAGTTGGGGGGCTTTGTGGGGACTGGAGGCTCAGGAGATTGCAGAAATGTCACCAGCACACCAAATCCTTATAGGATCAAAGTTCGTAGATTTTATTGCAAACTCATGTCAGTTACACAAGCGCTTTGATCCTATAAGGATTTGGTGTGCTGGTGACGTTTCTGCAATTTTCTGTATTTGGCGGCGCCATCCGCAGTCATTCCGAGCACCCCTCCTCGATCACAGGGTCATACCGGTAAGGAGTGCAACTAGCCTTTTCTTTTTTTTTGGGAGGCTCAGGAGGCCTGGGGGCACTGTGCGAGGTTAGAGGATCTGCAGATGGCTGTCCAGGGGCTGGGGGGAATTTTATGGTGACTGAATGCAGCAGATATTCAACCCCCACTTACTTCAGACCTTATGTCAGTATAGGTGCCACTTGGAAGAGAAACATCTTCCTCTCCCTGGACATATGATGGGTCAAGCTTAGAAAGAGATAGTATGGGTTCTCACTCCCTGGTGGGTGCCCTTAATGCTGGCAGGTCTTCTGCTTGATCTACAATACTTCCTCATGATACCTAATGGAGCAGTGCTTTGTGCTGGAACCCTCAGTGTTTAAGCGCAGAGGTCCTTTCCGCACTGTCATTTTGTAGCACAGGAAGGCACTGTACTCGGTGCTTCCTTTGTACAGATTCTAATGTATTTTAGAAATGTTATGTTTCACGACTACTGTTACCATGGCTATGGAGGAAGAAAGGTTGTGAAACGTTATTTATGACAGTCTCATAACATCAGCAAAGGTGACAACTAGCTAACTCTTCCATAACCTTGAGTTTTTGCTATGCAAAAGGACTGAACTTAATAGTAAGCAAGTGGCCTTTAGCTAGTTAAGATGGGTGAAACTTAATTACTTTAGGAGATGGAACTTAACATCAACCTTCCAAAATAGTTTAGCACCATCACAATGAAAAAAAAAGAAAACAGATAATGCCAATTTTCTTTACCCACCTGCTTTGCAGTATTTAGTTTTTCCCCAGCAGAATAAGTGCACTTTAGGTCTATTCATTTTGGCAACACAGTATTTTACTATATTTTTACCACTGACTCTTAAAATAAAATAGCCTTTTTTAATGTCAGTAAAGTTTTAAGATGCCTGCGCCTGAGTCAGTTATCAATCAAATCCAGTAATTTTAGACCCTTGGTTCTCAACTGGTGGGTCGTGACCCAAAAGTGGGTCGCGGACCCTTGTTCAGTGGGTCGCTGCATGCTCTCCACTTTTCTAGCTGAGAGGCTCCTCAGCCTCCCTCTAGCGCAGTAATGTCCATTCTCGCACCAAGCAGCCATTCAGAATAAGCTGCCTGGCCCTGAGTGCCAGCTTGAGGTGGGGTGGGCTGGAGCTATGGCCATGAGGGAACTCCATCCAGACGAGAATTGCTTACAGTTCCCTCGCATGTCCGGTAGAGGTGCCTGGACTGGAGTGATGTCACATTCTGGCTCCTGACATCTCTACAGGGTGTGCAAAGGAGTTGTACAAGCAATGCACATATGCATGGAGCTCCATCACTGCACAGCAGCCAATGTGCAGTACCGCAATGTCTTGCGTTCCATTGCAGTGCAACTTGGGTCGCGACTTAATGACCAAGTACAAATGTGGGTCCTGAGGTTACACAGGTTGAGAACCACTGTTCTAGACGCAATATGCATACATTTGTCCCACATATAGATATTAAATGAATCCTTACAATTTGTATCTATTCTATCTGTATTTCTGATATAACTCTGTACTCATTCTTAGGACGACACTGTTGAAATCCGCCCTTTACCAGATTGTCCCAAGGAGCACATGGGATACAGAATAATGGTCAAGCTGCATACTCTGAAGTACAGTATTGAATCTTGCTTACTGTTATTGTAAACATTGTCACTGAAGTTATCTTTGTTTTGTAAATCAGTCACAATTTTCTCCCATCCTGTATGGATCCGGGAACGCCTAATTTTTTTAAAGACGAACTGCAGGCAAAAGTGTTTTTAACCCTTGAAGTGGGGCTACCCCGCACTGCAAGGGTTAAGTGCTTCTTTTTTGTCTAGGTGGTAAAAAAAAAAGTTATTCTCACCAGCTGCCTGCTTTTCCTGTCACTGAAGCCTCTCTGCTCCTCTTCTGCAGCATTGGAATGTTCCTTAGCATCCTCACATTCTTTACACTTTGCATAGAATGTGATGATTTATGGGACCTTAGGCCACTGCAGCAGAGGGTGAGAGAGGCTCCAGGGACCGGTCTAAAGGTGCCCATACACCTGCCGATTATCGTACGATAATCGCAGGTGATCCCGCGATCGTACGATAATCGGCAGGTGTATGGACAGCGTGCGACCGCTTCTACTGTAAGGTTGTACGACTTTCCTCTTACGAGCACGCTTGAAAATCCGCCGAAAATCGTACGCAAGTACGATCTGCCTGTCCAAGATGGACAGATTGTACGAAATTGTAATGACCTTACAACCATCGCACAACAAAAGTTGTGCGATGGTTGTAAGGTGTATGGCCACCTTTAGAGCTAGCCAGCTCAGAGGATCAGGTGAATATAAACAAGCAGTTAACCCTTGCAGTGCGGGGGTGGTCCCACTGCAAGGCACCGTAGCAACTGCTTGAGCAGGTATGGCTGTAGTCACACCATTGGTCTTTATTGTGCTATGTATTGTTCAACTTGCCGACTTTAAGCACATGTGTCCAGTGGCTTTGGGCTTGTGTTAGTGCATTAGTTTGAGATGATTGGGAGCTCATCCAATATTAATTGACAGGTGCATTTGACAACTTACATGCAACTAATCTTTTGACACATGCCCTAATGTAAACTGTATATGTTACTTTTATGTTTGTAGTACTGTTAAGTACTTTATTACCCTTTACTTAGTTCAGATGTGCATACCATGCTGTTTTAAATTTCGATTTCCTCTTCCTCTTTCCCACACAGATTGGATATTGACATTGAACCGCTCTTTGTAAGCATTGCACTATACGACTGTAAAGAACGAAAAAAGGTAATTAAATGTCATCTTCTGAAAAATTGTGCTGGTTTAAATGTACAGCTATATTTTACACCCAATAGAACTGTATGCACAAAGGAAACCTGTCAAGATGGAAATATACAAGCTTCCATTACATGATTTTTTAAAGTGCAAGCACCAGGGTTATCATGCTTATGCTTGTTTTACTATTTAGTGAGTCACATAGTGGCTCCTGCTGGAATGATCACTACAACAGCCAATGGTAATCATCATTCACTTTGAAAGTGTGTTACAGAATTGCACTGCTACAGATGCTTTAACAAAGTGTTAGTTTCCTATTTAACCACTATTTAAGTGACTCTGCTGGTAACCATTGTCAATGGCAAGGCCTTCCTTACCATCTTGTCTTTAATTGGATTGTGATTGTAAGGTCTTCCTTATATTGTAAAGCGCTGCGCAAACTGTTAGCGCTATATAAATTCTGTATAATAATAATAATTATAGAGAAAGTGCTGGGGAATCCAAAATTTTACAGTTGTCACTGGAACAACAAGAGAGGAGGAATCTGGCAATAGGGACATTTGTTCTACCGATGATCGTTTAAGAGGGGATTTCTCACCACTTTGGATATATTTACTCCTACTTCCTGTTGTGTCCACAGAACAGGAAGTGGAAGGATATCTTTTCAACAGAACACAGGCAGCAACATAAAAAAAATGGGTTTCTAAAACGTTAAAAAAATTGTGTGATATATATATACTTCAACTCCTAATTAATGCTTCCCTTCCTCACTTCAGCTATATTTTAAACAATGTTTATACCATAATTTTTAGTATAAATTCTCTGTTGTGTTAAAATACAAAACATTTTTTGGGTACATGGCTTAACCTATTTATACTGGATTAGATTAATAAATGTGACAGATATGAAATCGATGTAGTGCTGCCTTGGTACAATTGTTCTGCACTTGGGTAATGGGTAACCAAGGTTCTTCTTTCAGATGCCAAATTATAAAGCAATGATTCTGGCATTCAGCAAACATTCACTGCAGGTGAATTTTTCCAGGTGCATGTTTTTTAATTGACAGATTGATTCACCTACAGAGAATGTTTGGCGAAAGTCATATTTACTGCTTTATAACTAGACCCCTGAGTGTAGATTGTCCTGAAGTTGAAGTCCTGAAATTGATGATATAAAGTTTTCCATTGTAAAAAAGTTTTGAATGTGTCAGCTTTGAAATTTTGTTCAACGTTGTGTTTTTCCATTTCTTAGATCTCAGAGAGTTTTCACTGTGACTTGAATTCAGATGCATTCAAGATCTACCTCCGTGCTCACACACCTACTGTGGCTCCTTCAAGCCAAGCAAGAACTGCACTCTTCTCTATTACTTACCCGTCTCAAGATATATTCCTAGTAGTTAAGGTGAGAGTGTCTCTTCTGGTGCAGTGATTCATCTTGAGGCCTCAGCTGAGCAAATTGCATTTTGGATGCCCTTCAGCCTTCATACTGTCCAGATTATGGACAATAAAGAATTAGTGTATTTTTAAACAGAATACATTTATAATTTGTTTTTTTTTTCTCCCTTTTTGCAGGTTGAAAAGGTTCTTCAGCAGGGAGAAATCTCAGAATGCTCAGAACCATACATGGTTTTAAAAGAAAGTGATGGTGGAAAAGTAGGTTGTTGGTCATTAGCTTAGTGCCTTTAAATTTCAAAAGCATTTAAAATAATACAAAAAACCTGCAAATGTAACCAAGAAAACGCAATGGCAACAACACTTTCAACCTATGTTCAGAGTTCTCAGTTTAGATTTTGTCTAATGAAAATGGTAACATATTCTGGGAAAGGTAAAACAATGCACAAAATGTAATAAAGCGGCTTAATGAGGAGCCATTTATTGTTGTACTATATACATCCTCATGGTTTCTGGTCAGAGTTAAAAATAAAACAAAAAAAGCTGTTATTAAACAAAGATATATAGTTTGGGTCAACTTTTTTCTTGCTACTGTTAATGGAATAGAGGAAGGGCTGAGAAAAGCCACAGACGAATAGTCCAGACATGTAAAGCTGCTCCTACTTCAGCATATCTGAATGCTTTTAATTTAGCTGGCTGCCTAGGCATTTCTTTTGCTCCACTCTTCATTAGTTTTCCCCTCTGCTTAAACCTTTATAACTTTATAACAAACGTTAAGAAGCTCTACAGGGTTCCCAAATGTTCATGTACATAATTTTACATCTTTACTGCAATGAAAAATTTGGGAGAGAGAGCTTTCATACATATTTTAAGTGTAAAGATATTTTTACACATATTCACCATATTTTTCGGTGGGAAGCCTATATTTTGGGATGCAGTACAATACAAATGTTTCTAAGAATGTCAAAAATGTTTGTTTTTGTTTTTTTTTTTACTTATAAGCTAGAATGCAATTTAAAAAATAATATGTTTGGTTTCTTTACCTTTATTACAGACTAAAGAAAAAATTGACAAACTTAAAACGCAGGCTGAAAACTTTTGTCAACGCTTGGGAAGATATCGGATGCCATTTGCTTGGATACCAATCAGTCTACTAAGTTGCATTAATGTCATGACGCTGGAAAAAGAAGCCCCTGAAACCGAAAGCATAAATGGTATGTTGTAGTAGATATGCCCCATTTACAGTATTATATTTAGGTTGAGAGATCTCGGTTCTTAAAATATACTGATAAAGCAGAGCAAGTCCAAAAAGGGTTAAAATATGGATCAGTGGTTCAACCTAAAACTTACCAAGAAAGACTAATAAATGGGTTTTGTAGCTCTCATGTGTCTGGGTGCCCTTAAAGTGTTGGGTCTATGGAGCATCTAGTCTGTGGCAAGGAATCTCCATAAGGAAGTTTTAATTTTGCTACATGATACTCCCATTACACTGCTCCCAGTTGCCACACTAGACAATGTCTGACCAGCAGCTGAAGGGAAATACCAAATCATCAAGACAGATCATAATCAAAACATGAACAAAGGTCAGGCAGTGTTCAGAAAAAATCGTATCACTGGCAGAAGGTCAAGCCAAGCAGAAAACAATCGATGGGAACAAGAGAACATACCAAAGTCATAACCAGGATACCAGACAGAGTATAAAGAACAAGATGCTAAAGCTTATCAGTACCAATAGCACCTTTTTGCTCAGAAATTGACCAAGTGGCTAAGCAAAACTGGTACCTACTTCCAGATGTGGTTACAAGCAGGATGTATATAATGGTAAATGGCTATGCTATACATCTACATTGAACATGCCTGGCCAGAAAGGTGAAGGAATTTCAAGCTAGTTTCTGTCTGACAGAATGGAGGTGCAGTGGTTATCCTTTGATGCTTGTGGAAGATACTTGTTCCCTAGTATGGAGCTTAAAGTTTAAAGTATGGAAGTTAATGAATACAGTTATGAATCTGAGACATTTCATTTTGCTGTAGGTTTAAGTAACAGAAATAAGTATTTCCCAAAGTAAAAGGTTTTAAAGCTATTTAAATTACTGATTAAATCACTTACAATAGATACTGCTCCTTGATGTTTAAAAGTTTTAGTTTCTTGCAGAATCGGCTGGTTCCCCGAGTACTGGTCCTGATATCCTGTTTTAGGGTGGCTCCTTTCCCTTGCAGGGTCCTATGGTGCCACCTTTGTGTGTCCTAGTAAGCTGTGTGTCTCCACAAACACACAGGCACAACAAGGCAAACCATCCCCTGTTCCCCTCTCCTCCTTCCACCCTGTTCTCCTTTCTCCAAGCTAGTAGATGGACAGCTGCTGAAGACTGTTCTGTCCCATGTGATCTTGTACTGGACTGAAAGTTCAGTATATATATATTTTAGGTATGCACTGATAACATTTACAGACTAATGATTTTAGGACAGTGGTGGAGCACCAGGGCCCGGTCGCAGCTGCAAACCCTGCGCCCCTGGTAGACTGGTAGTTCTGCCCTTTGTAGAGGGACTACAAATCCCAGCAATACATTATATAGCAATGCAGAATACCATCAGCTATAGAGGACTACAAATCCCAGCAATACATTATATAGCAATGCAGAATACCATCAGCTATAGCAGACTAAAAATCCCACCAATACATTATACAGCAATGCAGAATATCACCAGCTACAAAGGACTACAATTCCCAGCAATACATTATACAGCAATGCAGAATAATACTGGCTGTAGAGGACTGCAAATCCCAGCAATACATTATACAGCAATGCAGAATAATACCGACCTGTAGAAGACTACAAATCCCAGCAATACATTATACAGCAATGCAGAATACCATCAGCTATAGCAGACTAAAAATCCCACCAATACATTATACAGCAATGCAGAATAATACTATCAGCTATAGAGGACTACAAATCCCAGCAATACATTATACAACAATGCAGAATGGCACCAATTATGGAGGACTACATATTTCAGCAATACATTATACAGCAATTTAGAATAGTATATATTAATTGTCCACATTCTCTGTGCTGCGGCTCTGCTCTGGGCTGCCAGCCTTATGTCTCAGGTGGAGTGTCTCAACGGGGCTGATGTGGGGGGTTTCAGCAGAGGCAGAAAAAGAGGGTCTTAGCAGGGGTAGATGCAGAGGGTCTCAGCCGGGGCAGATGCGGAGGGTCTCAGCAGGGGCAGATGCAAAGGGTCTCAGCAGGTACAGATGGGGTGGATCACAGCAGGGACAGATGTGGCTGATCACAGCAGAGGCACACGTGGTGGATAGCAGCAGGGGCAAATGTAGAGGGTCTCAGCAGGGGCAGATGTGGAGGGTCTCAGCAGGGCAGATGTGGAGAATTGCAGCAGGGGCAGATGTGATGGGTCTCAGCGGGACAGATATGGAAGATCAGAGTAGGGCAGATGTGGAGTATCACAGCAGAGGCAGATGTGGAAGATCACAGCAGGAGCAGATGTGTCAGATCATAGCAGGGGCAAATGTGGTGGATTGCAGCAGGGCAGATGTGGTGGATCGTAGCAGGGGCAGAAGTGGAGGATCACACAAGGGGCAGATGTGGTGGATTGCAGCAGGGCAGATGTGGTGGATTGCAGCAGGGCAGATGTGGTGGATCGCAGCAGGGGCAGAAGTGGAAGGTCACAGCAGGGGTAATGTGCAGGCCAGCACTGTAAACAGGCACCGCTGTGGGGCGGGACCAGATCTCACTAGGCCTCCCCAGGCTCGGGCAGGTCCACCCCTGAGTCCCTGGCCCAGTCTGCCCCTGCCATCAATGGTTCCGCTACTCTCCTGTCTGCTGCTCTGGGCAAAAGGGACAGATGCTGTGGGCCCCTGTAAATTATGGGGCCCAGAGCAGTAGCCCCTTTTGCCCTGCGCAAAAAGACAGCCCTGGCTGTTTGGAAACGTGATGACTGTAGCTGCTTGGGCAAATATGTAAAGAAATACTTTGCTAGGCAATGTATATTTTGTTTGATATGGATTCCTTATTGAAAAATAGTTTAAGAGTTTAGTACTGCTAGCTCAAGAAGGTTCTATCTGAAACTCTTGTGGAAGAGAGAATTAGAAACTAATGTTAAGGAACTGCATTACAAAGTAAGCAAAATTGGCTACCAATAGATTGAATCAGGGAATTAACGCTAAAGGAACTTAAAAACTTCTGGGATAAACAAAGGTCAACCCTGAGACAAAAATGTTACTAAATGGGCATATTTCATGTTTTGTTGTCACCAATGTTATGTGAATCTCTGATTCTATATACATTTTCTATGCCCAATTTGACAACACCAGTGACATGGGCCAGTCGAGAGGATTGTGGATACAGAGCATTTTCTTACAGTTTCAGTTTTTCAGTAAGTTTTCTACTGTTTGCCATTGGAATGCAGAATTGTACTTCTAAAATGTCTGTAAAAAAACAGGTAAAATGTCTGTATTCCTTCCTAGTTTGTAATGGTTAATTTTAAAGAACTGTTTTTTTTTCTATAGGCAAGGCAGTCGGTGACAGAAGATCCTCACTGGGTCCAACAAGAAGACTTTCTGAGAGGTGTAATTTAGTTGATGAAGGCTCAACGTCACCATTTAAGCCAACAACAATTACACAAAACATTTTCTTCAGGCAGGTAAATAATTTTCACTTATGTTAGCAGTACCGGGTATGAACTGACTAAACAATGTGTCAGCTGAACATCATCTCATCCCTCAGACTTCCTACTATGGAGCATTCATGTGTAAAGTTCTTTAGCGTGACACTAAACTCGAGGTAGATCTAAAAAATAAATTCAAGTACCCTAAATATTAACAAAAATGTATCTTTTTTGTCTATCACTCGGCTGTAGATCCTCAAATCATCTCTGAATTGGCGCTGACACTGTCCTTCCTTCTGGACGGTGGCTACTTTTGTTCCCCATGTTCCCTGTGTGTTGTAAAGTAGCCACCAATCCAAGCTCTCTCCCATGATGGACTATAATCTCAATACAAATGAGTAAACTAAACATGAGATTTTAGTCCATCACGGGAGTGAGCTTGGACCGATGGCTACTTTACAACACACACAGGGACCATGGGGAAAAAAAGTAGCCACCCTCCAGAAGGAAGGACAGTGTCAGCGCCAATTCAGAGATGATTTGAGGATTTACAGCCAAGTGATACACAAACAAGTTACATTTTAGCTAATAGTTGAGGTACTTGAATGCATTTTAAGATTTAACTCCTGAGTTTAGTGTTATTTTAAGCAAAGAAGCTACAAAAAATAATTATTCTCAGTAATTGAAAATGTCAAGGTGACTAGACATTTTAATGAAAGATTGTTTCCTTCTCCTGGTTATTGGTCATTATACCATTGTAATCAAATTGTATGTTAACTCTGGGCTGAATATTTATATGGCGTTTGATTCACAAAAGAGTAAGCTGCCTCTGTATATCACACAGCCTTCTGCATAGATGCACCGACCTATCTGTCACACATGATAGGTTGGTTTTCATACAAGTTTTATACAGCTAAAGCATACTTTTAGAAATTATACCACATAGTCATTGTTGACAGTGTGATAATGTTATGGTGATATGCCTTAAAATGCTAGGCTGCCCATCATTTTTGTGCAAGTATCTCTAGAAAAAATACATTTAGGGTTGGCAACCATAGCAGTGTACCTTTCCTTCAAGTGAGAAGATGTATATTGTTGATGAGAGAGCTGGGAGAACATATCTGATTACCCTGACTTAGATTCAACAGGCGGACTATAAGTATGAGAGAACTACCGTCAGCATCATTGGCCATATCCCTCTCCATGACTCTTTTAATACTGGTGATAAATTGAGAGGAGCATGCACTGCACATGGGATTCAAGTGATGTAGGAAAACAATGGAGAAAATGCTGATTGACAGGGAGGAGTGTTAGAAGATTTTAATTGTGCTGGTCTTGCTAAACTCCATGTACCAGATATACATTTTTGTGAACAGAAAAATATAAATATAAACACATTCATATATTCTCTGGCCAATGTTTTCTGTGTTAACCATGTAATGCTATTATGTGGCTCTTTGTATTAGGAAGGAGATAAACTGAGTGATGAAGACTTATTCAAGCATCTAGCAGATTACAAGAGATCTCTGCAGAGGAGAACAAAATGTATCCCAGGTAAGGATGTAGAAAAATTTACAAGCAACTGGGCAAGTTTTGAGTGTTTTGTGAACAGCAAACCTAGTCTGAAACAGAAATGAGTGTGTCGCCTACTCAGATGCTTGTTTTTATACATTGGTCACTCACTTTGATCACAGTTATTTCAAAGGACATCTAGAACTTGTTTTTTCCGATACATAATGCAGTAATTACGTATATACCTCTGAGGGCCTTCAGTGGCAAGATCTTGCAAATGGAATATTTGAGAGATATAAAAAGCAATACATTTTATAGTGTTTACCCAAGACTGGAATATCACTTAAGTGCTAATCAAAATTCCAAACTCAGTTTAATTAGAATATAAAATGAACCTCATATAACATTAAGGCTTATGCAATTACAGACCTCTAATATGAATGCGTATTTGTACCCTTCCACTTTCTATGCCTCTTGATGAGCCCATTAATGTCATAGGCAGGTTTATTGACAAACCTGTGAGGCATGAAAACGCATTTTCTTTTTGAGCATGCCCCTAGCTTGGGGGCTCCTGTGGAGCTCTAGAACAGGGGTAGCCAAACTTCTGCCCTCCAGCAGTGGTGATCCCATCGTGAATCTGCCTTTGGGAGTCATGCCTCTGGCTGTCAGAATCTTACAATGTCTTAGGGAATTTGAAGTTTCACCATGGCTGAAGGGCCAAAGTTTGCTACCCATGCTCTAGAACAAAACTGAAGTGCCATGAATGGACGTGACTGCTATATAATAAAGGTGGCACCTTGGTACATTTAATAGATTTGATTTGAAATTACATTAATGAATTATCTTAACCTATATATGCACGATAAATCATATTATTTCCATAAAATGTGCGATGCATACATAAATTCTTTGTGTTTTGGAAGCAAACAGCCATTAAAACTGTTGCTATAAAAAAACAATAAATAATAAAAAAAAATACTAAATAAGCTTAACTCCTTATGCTTCGTAGTTTTTTTTATTTATTATTTCATAATCAAGAAAAAAAAAAAGAGATTAAGCTGCTTGGTCCAGTATTTGTCATCATAAAATGCCCAGTATATAGGTTTTTAGTATGTCATTAAACATGTTCACTAGTGATATAAAGAAGTAAAGATAAATTAAGGTTTTAATGCAGTTTAAGCAGAATATAATGTTGAGGTATTTTTTTCAGTTGCAATACTATTGATGTGTAGTCAACGAGATTAAGGACCTGTGTTAACAGGGTATGGATATATGTCTATGAGAAAATGCAGCTTGCATTTGACATCAGTTGGAGACGCTGCTGAGATCACTCGAAGTTCACCTCCTTTCGACTTGCATTTGACCTACTCAAACAGCTTTTGCATTCTGATGGACGTGTATGGGCAGAGAAGTAGGTCTGACACGAATAAGAGCCCAATCGACATAAGCCCTTAAAGTATTTCTGAAAACAGTGCATTAAAAGACCATTCTAATACAGCAAATAGTATTACATAGGCCAAAACACATTTATTTTCTAAATAGTTTTTTACCTTTTTGTTAAATCTTCACTAGGGTGTCTCTGTTTAATAAGGGGGCAGGCATATTTGACACACATAACAGGAATGAATGTCCCCGTCAGTGGCTTTCATCACATACGGGTGGGTGGATGATATGACCTCAAAACTGACCAAAAAAACGACCAGGGAAGATACATGCATGCTGAGCATTGGCACAGCATCCTGTACCTTCTAGCAGTAATCCCAGGGACGCAAACTTACCATGCGAGCACAAATCTTCTTCCGTGCTTGTCATGGTCAGTTTGAAACAGGAACCCAGGGGAGCTGACAGGATCACCAGGTTTTTTAAAACAATAGAATAAATACAATTTGGCTCGATTTTTTTGTTTTCTTAGACAGAGATCTTAACGTCCACGCCCTGTATGCACAATCAGCTGCCGTCAGAATCGGTTTGCAGCTTAAGACTGTATGGGATTTCCTGTCTACTCCCAACACTTTTTTTAAATATTCAGTATTCTTCAACATTTATGAAGAGCAATATGCAGTATCAACCGATTACCAATCCTATTTTATTATCCCCACTACCCTAAACATTAAGGCTTAAAGTGACTGTATATTTATGTGTGTGTATGCCAATGCACGGCATGCATGTATCTTCCATGGTCAGTTTTTTTGGTCTTCATAAATCTTGAATAATAATGAATATTTTAAAAAAATGTTAGAAGTAGACAGGAAATCGTATACAATCTAAATCTGGCAACTGATTCTGAAGGCAGCTGATTGTACATACAGGGCGTAGACGTCAATATCTCTGTCTAAGAAAACACCTGTCTACCAACATGCACTGGATAAAGCTGTATATTTTGCCTTTGGAGGGCATAGGAGGGGGCACTGCAGACACTGGCTGTCTCTGGGTAATAGCACTAAATGGCCTAGTAAATCCATCCAGGCCAATCAAATTTGCCCCAACAGATTTTTCAGCCAGGGTCATGAAGTGTACTACAACCATAGAAATGTTCCTTATCTGACTGTAAAGAAGAATACCAAATGAACATTCTGTAATGTCTGTGGCTACCTTTTTAGCTGGCTAGCAACTGTCATTTTGGGCCATGCCAGCTGTCTGTGTATAGTCTTTGTAGGTACCTGTGCTCCACAGACCATATACAGTAGGAATAAAAAGCTTCAATTGAATTGCTTATAGTGCTTGTCCTCTTTGTGCCTATATTAGCACTGATCTGTTGTTTTTTTTAATTAAGGGCTTCTAAAACTTGAAATTTCCCCTGTGTGTGATGGGATGAGTGGTTGTCTTACTCCTGAGCTGCTTCCAGTGAAACCCTTTTTAGAAAGTCGAAGTCGTGTAATTAAAGAGATTCTGGAGTTTCCAATGAAGGAAGTTTACGCTCCGCACACCACCTACAGGTATGAATCAGACTTACCAGAAGCACACACTTGAGATTGCTATACATTGTCAGTATATCTAAAGGGGAAGTAGCAGAATGTATATTGGCTCAGTAATAAAAATAAACTGAAGAATATAAGTGTAAAGGTACTAAATAAAATAATTGGGGGGGGGGGGGGGAAAAAAAGCCCGAAAAAAAA